ATGAAGTCCAGTGAAGAAGTCATTAAGTACAGTTAATGTGTATTTAAGGCTGCTAACGAACAGTTGATGAAAGGAAAAATTGTCTGGTTTGTTTCCACATCCTTCCAACAAATCTGCCTGATTTGGTCATGACCATTGCAACGACTGAATATAAAGATGAGCGAGGTGTCCTGCTACAGGTACTTTAGAGCACGAATCTGCTCAGGAATGTTTGTGGTGTGGAGCCGGAATTCGTGTTAGAATACTAATTTAGAAATGGCGCACAAAGGCCCAACAGTCTATAAAACCACATTTAAATTCACTTAATTTTTATTTCATCAAATTACACACACTCTTGAATATATATCAGAGCCCTAAACATTCCTGATTTGCTGATTAGCTCAAGTACATGGAAAAAAACAAATCCTGGATCTGCCCCCTGATGCGGATCCACACCACAATTTAAAGACTTCTTCATGCTCCACCTCTCCACCAAAGTTTAATGTAAATCAGTTGAGCAGATTTTTGCATTACCGTGCCAACACATTAAAAATGCAGATGAAAACATAACCTCCTTGGCAGAGGGGTCCAGCTTGCTGTTTTTTGATGTTACTAGATGCCAATTCTTACAGACATTCCACGTGTCTTGTGCTTTTCATATGACTACAACATCCAAATTATTAATTTAACCATAGTGTTCTTTCCTCCTTTATGACCATATCCCTGCAAGTACCATTATATCTTTCATACATCATTTCATACTTCCATTTGAGGGCGACAGAGAGCAAAAAAAAAGAGGCATAGAAAGATTCTGGTGCCATTAGGAACAGAAACACAAACACACATACGCACGGCAGAGGAACAGGCGTTGGGGAAGAAGGGGAGGGGAATAATGGCTCGAAAGACGGCTATACCCGTTGTGCTCTTTCCGCCCTCTTAAAATTTCGAGCCTCTACAATCAACAAACCTCGACTTCTGAGTGATAGAAAAAGGAATCAAGAGTGATGTTTCAGTGTGATTGTTTTCGGGCTTTCATTGGTTTCAATGAGTAAAAAAGTGCAACAGAAGCTCTGAGTGTTGGAGTGAATTGAGCAGCAGTACATAAAACCTCTTGCGTCAGTACATAAATCAAATGAAGTAAAGATCTCAAGTGTGCCTGTGCATGTTTGCATAAGTGCGACTTAGGCTCTCAGCACCTCATTCAGCACAATTAGAGCACGTCAGCCTTGCACCAGGAAAACAGGCGAGGAGTAATTGGATTTAAATTAGACATGTTCTCTGCTCACAGCGAGCTAATGAAACAAGGAGCAACAATCCCCTCACTCACTCCCTTCTTCCACCTCTTATGTTTATCTCATTTAACATCCTCCCATCCTCTCCCGCCCTTTGCACTTATATAATTCACCCTTTTGACACCATCAAACACTTTATTCGTTATCTGATTCCCATTGCCCACCTAGTATAATTGGTTTATCCCCATTAATTATAACAGCTTTTAGACTAATACCAGGAATTAACCCCAAAGTAGATCGGATAACTAAATGAACCTCTCACTCTGTAAAATATTACAAAATGGTGTAAAATACTGGTAGTCAGGCCCCTTGAAGAGAGTAAAAGTAGGAAGATTGTGTAAATGAAGTTGTAGTACTGTGAGAATAAATTTGTAACATTATGAAAAGGAACAAAACCCTTGGTAGGCAATGGCATACCTCTTTTCGACTAAACTGTGAGGCTTGCTTTGTTTACAGCTTTGTAGTTTCTCAAGAAAAAAAATTTGATTTGTAATCAAGATTTGTAACTTCGATCTCATGAAAGTATGACTTTCTTCTCTTAATACCACGACTTTCTTCTCGTAATACTTCATCCTTGTAATAATACATGTCAGTCTTACAATTTTATTCTCATAATATTATGGCTTTATTCTCGAAATCTTACATTTTTCTTCTTCTTTATTACACAGTCTCCAAGGAGAGCGATCTTTTCAAAAAGCCTATTTTGTCCAACAAAGTGTCAGAAACCCAAAGAGTAAAACCTCAGATGAGAAGCTGGGTACAGTAATCAATTACTGCATTTCAGTGGACAGAAATACACTCAAGTTCAAACACTTGACTATTACTTAAAGCCCCTACAAGGATGGTTTCATTATTGTTGAATATGGCGCCTCTGTGTCAACCCCAGTCTGGCCAGCATGTGCATTAGTTTTTGTCTGACCTCTCCTTGGCTGTTGTAGGTCACAACGAGGCAGCAATATTAAAATGAGACTGTTTCATTAAAAACTCACTCTCTGAACACCTGAAGCAATCAGCATTCGGGTAAAATAGGTAAAAATACATTTCATTGCTTTTACAGGATGTGTCTTTTAGCATTCACAAACCAAACAAAGAAAATGAATCCCTGAGTTCAGGGCTGAATAGTGTGTGTGCTTTTAGTAAGCTATAAGCACATTTGTCTAACCGACTACATGTGTATTCAAGAATCACTTTAAAAGCCAAAGCAAAACTGGATCTTCAACTAACAAGGCTACATTAGTTAGTGGATCACAGGTCTACAGCATATTTGGGGATATGCTTGTGAACATACTGTATTTGCCTGCTAGTGTGCATTTGTGCAAATTCCTTGTGGTGGTATTCCCACGGGAGCGTCACATCTCATTGGTGTGTGTGTGTGAATTTACTGGATCATTTCATCTCTGCCTAGCCAAGATAGCTGCTACTGCCACTAATGGCCAGCTGTTCTCACAACATCTGGAGGAAAACTCACTTATGCATATATGCACGCACGCAAACCCGCACGCACACACACACACACACACACACACGCACACACACACATGCACACCCCCCCTTAGTACTTTCCTCCCCCTTCAACTCACTCTGAAGCTCAATGTAGGATAATTAGAGAATATCTGGATCTGTCATATCACTGACAAACCTGTCCAGGAGAATCTACACACAAACACGCACGCACAAAGTGTATACTGTACTGTAAACCTATAAACAGAGCACGTTTGCCTCTTTCTATTCAGCGTCCAAGCGAATATATTTTAATTTCACACATTCTAATTACAAAGTTAATATTAAAAGTCTAGTAGGTTTCAGTAATAAAGAAAAAGCACCACACACTTGGGAGCACTGAGTGACTCTTGTCCTACTTTGAGTCAACCTCCACTCTTTCTCATTCACCATTCTATTTCTCCCATTAGTGAAGACCTCTCCTTCCTGTGGTCACTGTCCATCTCTTTCTCATCCTTCACTGTTCGAGGCCTTTAAAAACCCCATTCCTCTCATGTCCTCACCTCGACCATTACTGCTCTCATTAGCAGACATGGGCCAACACCCTCAATCAGGCTGAGGGTCTTATTAGTTTTAATTCAATGCATAAAATAGCAATTTGGCTTATGTTAATCAGGGTGTTAATGTTGCAGAAGGCCATCAATGTGAAAAACAAAAGTTTTTACCTCTCCATACTGCTTCTGTTATTTTTAACACCAATAAACTACAAAAGTGCATTATCCCATGTGACTACCTTGACTGTATCAAAGCCTAGTATCTAACGGGCCCTGGCTGAACGAGACAAAAGTGCGACCAGCTTAATAGTTCCATCCTGCTAATGGTTGGCTCTCCATTGGCTTCTGTCTCTCTGCAGGGATCTGAAATGGCCTGATATTACTGCAGCCGTCTCCTGACACTGTGAAACTCATTTACATTTCAGTAGGGCTCTGTTGAGAACTCAGTGAGCAGCCTCACACAATCAGTGCAGGGCCAGTTTACTCTGGATGTAGATCTCCTCCTCATCCCTAACTACTCGTAGACAAATGTCCACAAACGACTACTTCTCTTTGAGATTCATTCAAAATAACATGGGTGTACTTTTCTTTATAACTCCGGTTAGTGTAACTTAGCATCAAGACTCAAATTAAATGAAAACTTCTCGTCGATCTAAGAGTTAAAATAAAGCCAACTTCCTGCACCTCTATAGCTCACTAACATGTATGAATATGTGTGAACCAGACACGTAGCTAGTAAGAGTCCAGGGCAGCACTGGCCCACCCACATTACTCACTGGCCTTCCAAGAAACCTTTGATCAGAAAGCTATAGGATGCCACTGTTCAATTTTAAAAGCATCAATTCATATCTCATATCATGCTCTCTCTTACACTCGCTGATCATCAGTACCGCAGAAATTCAGCCTGTGAGAGTGGTCCATGAAAACGCCCATGAGGTTTTAAACGTCCCAGCTATACCAGTGCACACAGTAAAAATTAGTAATCAACAGTGTCTTGCATTGTTCAGTTAATGTCAAGCTTGTTCTTCTGGCCTGATTTATATTATTGTGTATTATTGACTGAGCTCTGATGTCGCTGTTATTGGCTTTGTAATGCAAGTAGTTCCAAAGTTAACCTTCACTAAGTAGTCCTTTTTTGTGGGAAAAAGATGGACCGCCCACATCCAAATGATTATTTCTGCCTACACCAAAAAACTGAAACTCCTGATAATTGTGGCCATAGGAAACATCAATGTTTGTTCAAACTTACAGAATGTAAGTTTGACTCAGACTGACAGCTGTCCAATAAATAACAGCTTGTGTCAGGGCTGGCAGGGAGACACACAGACACACACAGTCAAATCTTCTGCAACAGAGCCACTAGGCATTGAAATGTTAGTTCTAAGGTCAACTCATACCTAAAAGAGATAGCTGGGAAGTAAAAAATGAGAGGAGAGGAGAAAGAGGGAGACTCCATCTGACCTTTAAGGAACCACACTAAAACCAGCCAACACTCCAGGCACTGTCCTAGGTTGGTCCCACTCTGCATCTGTGTGCATGTTAGTCGGTCTCCATGTTTCCAAGGTTACTGTGAATCTGCTGCCTCTAGAAAAGGTACTGATGGAGTCAGTCAATGCATGTCTGTGTGCTGTAACGTGCTTTAGGGGCGTATGACGCACTTGTTCTGATGATAGGTTTGTCCAGATTATGCATTACTCTATAAAGCAAACACACAAACACAATCCCAAACAATTACCTTATGTGGTAGGAAGAGGGAGTTGACAGCTGCCACAAGGCTTGTGGTGTCTGGGGCATCCCTCTGGCCACAGATCACGATCTAAAACAAATAAAAGTGGAGGAGTGAGAACGTGGAGGCAAGGGAACAGGGACAAGGAGTGATAGTTAACGAGATGAAGGAGTATGAAAAGAGTGAAATAAGAGGGGAGCCTTGACGCATAAAAGGAGGGGAGAGAGGGAGGAGGTGATAGAGGTCAGTAGTGTATTTGTAGCAATAACAAAGGAGGCAGGTGTTTTCTCTGGGACTGCTTCACCTTGCCTCGCCCCTGAGCTCGTTACCCCCGCCCTGTCGCTCTGACTCATCCTCCGCAGGTCATATATGACGGACAGATATAATAACTATCCCCCTTCCTTTGCCTCCTTCAAGTCCTTTCTTCCTTCTGTGGCTGTTTAGCAAATTCCTTCACACAAAAAAGTTTTCTCAGGGTTAACAAGATGCTTTAGGGTAACTGCTGGGATTTGCCAGTACAACCAATGGTTTCATTGGTTTCAGGCTAATTGAGGGTGTTAATATTTCAAACCTAAGTATATAACTGAGGCTCAACAGCTCAAACAGCCCTTTAAATGCATGATCAGGAAGATTTTGACAGTGTTAATATATGCAGAGAGCTGAGATGAAGGCGAGCATCCTCAATAACCTACAACTATATATCATATCAGCCAGTTGTTTCAGGAGATACCTTTGCAAGCAGAGGTTCATCAGAAAAGGATTGTTATCATGGTGCTTTGAGCCTCTGCCACAACCTATGTCTACCTCTGCCTCATCATGACCATTTGTTTGTCTGTCTGTTGGTTAGCAATATTATGCACAAACTAATGGGCGGATTACCACGACACTTGGTGGAGGAAGAGGTATGGGTCAGGAGAGAACACATACAATTTTGGTGAAGATCCAAATAAATGGGTGAATACAGGAATGCTGCTTTGCTTTCTCTACAGCATTTCCCACCAAATTCCTTCAATCTATGGCAGCAGTGGGAGTGCACGTACATTGCTCTCATGCTCAACAGATTCCAAGTGACAGGTGCACAGACTTAAGAGTAAAGGACAAGTTCTTGCGAGAGAGAGAGAGAACTGTATTACATGCCACTTGGGGGTACACACACAACTGCAGCTGAAGTTATTTTAGGGCTGTCTGTGCAGATGAACGCTAAACCCCCCCTCAGTCACAGCTACCATTTAACTATGGCTGGTTCATTGTTCTACAGTAAATAATTTTCCTTATCCATTATTCAACCAACTATTATCTTGAGATAATGAATTGATGGTCAGCATAGTTTTTATTTTATTGTGATGCAGCAACTATAGTAGAAAAACACATGCATTATTAATAACTGAAAGTGAATGGAAAGGTTATGAAGGGACTTACCTTGAGGCACTCCTTGATATTATAGCATGGTACACAATGTATAATTTAAACCTTGATATGATGCTTGGTCCCAAAAATGTAGATGAGTGATGAGGACTAACCACTTGACCATCTTTTTTCTTTTTTTGTGAGAATGGACATTCTGAATAAGAGTGTACAATTTGAATACTACAAGACTCACAACAAAACAATATAGTGCAACTCTGAAGTGAAAAACAAAAATCAGCACTGGTGGCTGCTTTAGCAAGTCTAGTTTACTTGCACTGATTGTCACTTCAATGCATAATGAAACTGAGTCAGCACGGCCAGTGCAGGGTTGTTCAGCGTCTTGCTGGGCCTTTTGTTCAGCTGCTGTGTATTGTTTGGTTCAATTGGTAAATGTAATGTCTATTGTTCTCGCACAATTTGTCAGAAGCAGAAACACTTGCTTTCAGTAGGCGGACGTGAGAATGAGTTGAGGCAAACAGCCAAGCAAACACACCCACACTTCAGGCTAACATGGGGTTTAGGGATCTCCAATGATGGCGGCTCAGCGGTCCCAGTCAAAGACATTCAGATAACTGAAAAAAAGCACAATAGTAGATCCATTGTGCTACAAATACAGATATCCAAATTAGAATATAAATTAAAGTATAGGCTTGCTGACCACAGCATCTGTTGTAACTCTTTGTAGTTTTTAAATAAGTGTAGTGTGTTTTACCTCAGAACACTTTGCTAAAGCGACTTAAATCCCTCTGGAGTCTGAACTTACTTGTAGCGCACCTATCAATTTGTGTGTGCCTGTGTGTGGAGTTGAGAATAACCTGTTTAAGCGTGTAGTGTTGGGCCATAAGAGATCGGACCATTTCAGGGAGGGCTATGGGAGCCCTGGTCAGACGGTCGGAGAAAGCCGTCAGCAGTTGTTGGGAGCTCTGAAGCCACTCATGTCTTCCAGTGTAGTGGGACAGACGCAGGAGATTGGACGCAGACACCGAGTTAGCACTGGGCTCAGCTCCGTCCTGATCTGAGACACAAAAGATACAGAACATAATAAGTTAAGATGCACACTGTTTTCCTTCTTATCCCATCCCCTGGTACACAACCAACACAGAGTAACAACGTGTGGTGTGATGTGATTGGGCGACCTCATGACTTAGCCCTGTTAAGCCATCTGACTTTATCTCTTATCAGTGTCCAGTGAGAGCCTGGAGGTGATCTTCTCATGACCTATGACCTCACTGCATGTCTGCTGCTCAACATCACCCTAATGCTTAGATCTGAATGTGTGTGTGTGTGTAAGAGAGAGAAAGAGAAAGACAAGGCGCTTTGAAGTCAGACTCATATTTTTGATTAAAAATAAACTAGAATTACCGCACTGCAGTTTTATGCCTCTGCCGACCAGTGCCGTTTCTATGTACGTATTTCTACATACTTTTCCCCCCAGATTCATATGAGGTCACTGTGATCAAACTCACATGATTTAATCTTTGGGTCCATTTGGGCCAATGAAAAAGGAGTCCTTGATGGCGTTCCAGAGACATGTCCTTTACAAAGCGAACATTGTGCTTTGTGAGGTCACTTTGACCTGTGACCCCCCCCCAAAAAATTATCTGATTATCCTTGAGCTCAAGTGAATGTTTGTGCCAAATTTGAGAACATTTCCTCAAGGCACTGCTGAGATATTGTGTTCAAGGGAATAAGACGGACGGACCTGAAAACACAATGCCTCTGGGCCACTGGATGTCTGCAGCAGAGTCATAAAAAGAACAAAGGATTCCCCCTCCCTGAATCTCTCTCTCACACACTCTCACACACACACACACAAATGCATGAATGAACTGCAGTAATTATTTGATTTCATTCTGCTGTATGTTTCAACTCTCCTCCAGCAAACAGCTGAGCAGACCAAAAAACAGTTTGAACAAACTCAGCTGATTCTATTTTAAATTAAAGGCAGAACCAATACTGTATATCACTTTTACCTTTCTTATCAAATACAAAGACGTAGAGCGGAGTAAGGCAGGGCTGTAAGATGGAGAGTGACAGCGTGGTGGGGTAATTTGTCTTGCAGTGACAGGCTACGCTGCTGAGACAGATACCCACACTGCAGCGGCTGTAGCGTCACTAATGCGCTTCAACCCTACCCAGCGGCACCACAATAATGGCAGTCAAGACTCAGATGAGAAACCTCTCACACGTCAGCTTCGATAAACACACGTACATGCAGGTGTGATGGCGAGAAAGGCGTCCCCCCACACACACACACACACACAAAACCGTCATCTCTGATCTGTCAACAGTTCCTAACAAGAATAACTATTAGCTTTGTCACTGTTTTCATCATTCCCAACTGTGATCTGGTCTCAAAGGGGGTGAAGCATGAAGCGGACAAAGGCGGTGGTTCAGGCGGTACAGTGGGTCGTCCACTGACCACAGGGTTGGTGCTTCGTTCCCTGGCACCTCCAGTCCACATGCCAAAGTAGCCTTGGGTAAGATACTGAATCCCAAAAAAAGTCAATGACAGCGGTACAAGCAGGGTGTGATAGAGGAGGATGCAGCATGTAGTTGCATTGTATGAACGTGTGTTTGAATGGGTGAGTATAGCTTGTATTGTTAAAAAGCCCTTTGAGTGGTTGATAAGACTAGTAAAGTGCTATATAGATATAGTCCCATTACAAGAGGATACAAAAAATATTTTTTGGTTGGTTTTATGTAGTAGCCAGTAGTTATAAAAAAGTTATAACTTTTGAAATGACAATAAAAAAATAAAAGAAATGTAGAGAAACTAGCGAAGACTCAGTTAGAAATGAATTAGAATTAGAAAACTGGTTGTACATTTTGTTTTATGAGAAAGACACCATGCAGAGTAAAGATGACAACAAAATAATAAATAAATAAAAAGTCTGAGAAACAATTCATTTATACAGTTGGTCTGTCAAGAGACTTGAGAGTAAAAAACAAAAAGAAACAGGAAACTGGATCCAGGTTGGAAACTTTGGACTGACAGATCAAAGTTAAATGTCTGCATGTCTACAAGGTGTCAGCTTCTCTGAGCTGCCAGCAGCCGAGTAAAGAGTGAACTGGCAGCTGAAGAAGGGATGCGGTGCACGTTAAGGTCAGACCCATTTATATTTATATCCCGTCAGTGCTTTGGTACAAAAACCCTAATTTAGCCACAAACACTGAAGTGATGCAGCTTTGCAACAATAAACTACATACAGATGAAAAAGGATAATACAAAGAAAGCAGACCACCTGTGAATCATCCACCTTTGACTGATGATACTCTATTGAGGCTTTCCGGAGAAAATCCAGAAGATGTTGAAGTGAGGCCATGTGAGGAAAGCAGCAGGGAAATGTCTGGAGAACTCAAGAGCGGGCGTGTGGATGACATTTCTAAAATTTGACAGATGCATAACTAACAAAAAAGAACACTTGAACCTGAACCTGGGTCTGAACCTGATCCGAGCCCGGAGCAGTTAAAGTAAGCTGAGTTTGTGTTACTCTGTCCCTGACACAAATGGTTATTGCTTGTTCTCCCAGATTACAGACACGAGCAGTGTAAAAAGGTCAACGTGACCGACCTGAACCTGAATACTATCTAAAACACACAGTACTGTGTTGCCAATGCAAAGCAATATGCTGGTCTGGCTCAGATAACTTTGTGTTTTATGGGCATTTGTGTGGCATTTACCTTTCTCTGCTAATTAGGAAGTTACAAAGACATTTCATCAATTTAATAACAGAGGTGCAAACAAAGCTGTGATTTAAAAACATGAATATGACATAGAGTTTTCTTAGGGAAACTTCTTAAATACAAAGAAGACATTGCTGAATGAGGTCCACTGATATTACTGCACAACAAAAAGCATTTCATTCTTGTAGGAAAAAAAAGCTGCACCAGGAAGGTTCGTGACTTGTCTACTAGTTATTGTTATACTAGATCATTCCATTGTGGGACTTTTTTTTTCTGTCTGCAAGATGGTGCATCTTTGAACTGCACCAAAAGACAGTTTGAGGACAACACAAAACACAAACATACAAACAAAAGTAGGAACATGCAGTAAATGAAAAAAGTGGATGAAGTTATGATGTAAATGAGATGAAAAGAGGTAGAGATAGATTGAGGATTTAAGATTCCTACTGTACATTGTGTGTGTGCCATTTCAATCTGTCAGGCGCAGATGGACCCAGAGACAGAAACGAGACAGATTTGACAGGGCTTGTGATCAAAGTAGCCGAAGATTCAGAGCATCGGTGTTTGAGTGCTTTCATGCCGGAGGAGTTCAACTGTGAGAAAGTGAGTGAGGGCGGCATGTTACTGGAGGTAGGGGAGGTCAATATACATCTGCTGTTATCCTCTAGCTACTCATCTCACCATCCATCCATCTATCCTTGCCTGCCTTTTCTCCTGTGGCTGAACTGTGGCGATGGAGCGAAACTGGCAGCGATATTACGGCGAGAGCTTCCATCTTGTTAAGTTCAGGAACGATCAATGAGGTGAAGGATATAGGCAGGCGAGACACTAGGGACAAATGAGTGAATGAATGAAGGAAGGATTACACCCATCCATTAACACATGTTGTTCAAATAAATTACAGCCATTCATTCACACATCTTTTGTTCCTTCAAATCAATGGGATCGAATTAAAGCAATGTGTTGATATTACCCGAGTGTCTAAAGAGTAGTAGTAGTATTTATTCATCCGTCTGAGACATCAATCCATCTTTGAACCTCGTCTAAGCCCCAGGGGTATGCTGCTGGAGAGGGGCTGTTAATCCTTCACCTGTCCATCAATACTCCCCTGCATCTCTCAACCAGGAGCAGCAGCATCAATACCTCACTTATTTTCCACTCGGTTTTGTCCCAGACTGAAGTATCTCACCAATTACTGGATAGATCGAAACAAAAAAATTCATGTTGTCTTATGGATGGAACGTACTGACTCAGCGATCCTTTTACTTTTCTCTAGCGCCACCAACAGGTTAAAGTTCTTACTTTTCCAGTGAAATACCTCAACACCTTTTCAATTAATCAAATGCCAAAACATTTGTGCAGACATTCATTGTTCCCAGAAAATGTATATGGGGACCTCTCGTAAGGAGCGATGAAGTATGAAATTTGACTTTGGGCCAAATATCTTGACAAATGCTGGAACGCTTGCCATAATATCTGATTCAAATACATACAATGATGTAAAATTAATACAACAATGTTCCCATCAGTAACATTTTGCAAAAAAATAAATATATAAGAATTTCTGAATCAATTCGAAATTGCAAGAGCTAAGAAAAGTGATTGGATTTAAATGTCTCTCTCACCCTTGCAGCCCAGAATTCTTCTTATTAATCTGCCACATCACATGGCTGTCAAAAATGTGGTATTGTTGTGTAGAAGGCTTGGAAGTGAAAAATATGTGAAGTTTCATATGAGGCAAAATTTCATTACCTAGGTAATTAATCTCATTAGCGTCAAGGGGTAATATAGATTTAAGCCTGCTGATATGGGCTGACTGATGAGAATTTCACTCTATTATCCCTCACCCTCTTTGAGTTGCAGCAGCACGGTGCTGTCGCTGGGATCGCTGCAGAAGTAGCCTCCACCCTGCTCGTCCCAGAACAGCGCGTCCTGTCTGAGCTGGAGCTCCTCGGCCCACTGCAGCCACTCCGTCTGCAGCGTGGCCTCGTACAGGTCCAACAAGCCACAAATGATGAAGGCATAATCATCCAGGAAGCCGGAGATGGGTGGAGAGCTAGAGAATAGAAGAAAAATGAGAGAAATAAGAAGAAAAAGATAAATTATCAATCAATAGATGAATATGAGGAATGGTGAGATTTAGTGACTGTTGGCGAACTGAGTCAGCCTCTCATCTTTTGTATATCAAACACATATATAACGGCTTTGAAAAAAAAATCAAGCTGCGTTTTCTCAGCCCAGTATAGAAAACCCAGAAGAATTGACTATAAAGTGAAACCAGAAAAAGCCTGAAGGAATTATTTGGGACAGTACAGAGCTACAGTGTGATATACATAGTACACTGAGTGTGTAATCTCTCCCTGAAGCATTTTTCTCTGTGTGAAGTTAGTCTTGTGCACAAACTCAACTGTGAACACACTCTTTGAAGTTTCAAGTGATGCAGGACAGTAATTAGTCAAATCTGACTGCAGTTCCTTTACTTCACCCCACCTCCCTCTGCCATCAGTGTTCCACCTCTTCCTTCAACTGTCTCACTACAGTATGCTCTCTTCTAACTTTTGCAGCCTCTTTTTTAACTTTTACCAAAAATCACATTTTAATTTGAACTTGCTGAACTCCACTTTGAAGTCTTTTCAACACCTGGAGTTTCTTGTCTCAACCAATATGTCTCATTCCCCGGTGTGTGATTGGATTTATTGTGTGCAGAACTGATTCGTGCTCTTCCCAATGCACTGACATTATACAGTATCACCAATAAACTCAGCATAAACTCAACTTTAGTTGAAGTTTCTATGATCTGCTGTTCTCTCCTCTACCAAAGCTGCAGCCCAACACCAAGCCGTCCCTCCTCCTCCTCTATTTCCTACAATGGCACATCTATCTAGGTGGGTGCAGGGGGAGGGACGGCAACAGGAACCCAGATAAAAGGTTGTGTCAGGCGAGGCTGGTGGTCAAGAGGCTGAAAAAAAGAGGTAGCTCTGGTGATGAAATGCATGAGGAGGTCATGGGGACATGACGAGTCACATCTAGGCCTATCTGACCCAGACAGAGAGTGTCGGAAAAGTCAGAAGTAGGAAGGGGGATGGCAAGCACTGTTGCACAAGACAGGTTTGATATAAATCCAAACAATTTGTAATTTGATGTGTTTACGGTTTATAAATGGGTGTGCGGATATGGATCTGTGGCTGTAATGTTTGACCTGATGTTGTTGCTAGATGGAAAATCAGGGCATTACTACCCCCAGTTAACTGAAAGTGCTTGAAGCAGATTTACCAAACTAGCCAGTTATGTTATGTCAAGCTTGCTGTGACGACTTTATGAAACCCAGGTGAGGAAAAAAGAAGCATGATGCTAGAGGAACACCAACATTCTCACAACTCATCCTGCAGGGAACATAAATATCTGTACTAACATTTTATCGCAGTCCACCAAAGAGTTGTCCACCCCAGCGTTGTATCATTCCAATAATACCCCTGTTCTCACCAACGTCATTGCTGACATTTGACAACACAGCTTCAATCAGGCCAGACAGGGAAGCAAACTGCTTATTTGAAAGTAAAAGCTAAATGTGTCTGAAATGCCAGTAATAAACTGCTAGTGGGAGGCTACTTGAGGGCAGGATGAAAGTGAAGGACTGAAACATAATCACGCATCAGCGTATCAAGACAGTAGTTGTTACTCTATTAATACTTGCTATCTATCTATCCATCTATCACCTCTGGAACACATATCTTCAGCTTATTGACTTCACACTTGGCATGTGTATTGTTAAGGGCCCAAGAAACTGCAGCAAGTTTGATATTTGGTAATATTATTAAACTTTAAATACACAGGCGACCAGCCAGTGGTGGTGGCTGGGACTCATCTACAGGAGTGATGTTGTCAACAATGACAACCGATTCTCCAGCTCAGGGATCTGTGTACTGAGTGTAGCTTCAGTGAACTTTGAATAAACAGGTAAACAACTCTATGTGCAGCCGCGGTGGTGCAGCTTCAGGGTTCTGTGGACCAAGTGTAGCAGCCGCCCAAAACGCACCAAATTGCTCACACTCTATCACACATCGATAGGGCTCCTCTTATTGTGCATGGTTTTAAATCAGCATGGTTCATGAAGCTTCACATTTATTGCTTCACAAGTTAACTACTAAATTTGTCATATAAAAAGAATCTATAGCAACTTTGGCATAAACTTTAGGTCTCATCAGTTTCACTCTGCATTACGATTTTTAAATCAGTAAAACTTCTGAAATCTTGGTAATTCCATTCTACTCGTGACTCTTTCCCCACACTAACACCCTCCTGGCCCAGACCTCATCACTCAATCACAGCTTTTTCCCCCCTCCTGAGGATACCCCTTCTTTCACAGGACGACACGTTATCAGACTGAGGTGACTCCAGCCACATGAACGACAACTGATACAAGACCTCAAGAGGGCCTCACTGACACGTAACACAAAAAGGTAAAACAGCCTTTTGAAAATCTCCCAGAACCTTTTTCGTTCACACCTTTATAATATTGCTGTTAAATGAGTGATTTCCATAACAAGAAAGATAAAACGCCTTGTCAGTCTACCGTATAACAGCATTATTACAATAATAGCTTTATAATGGTTCTCATGCACCAGCTACTTCACTCCCCCTTTAATAAGCCATAGAGGGAGAGACCTATTGGCATGATATGGGTCACGTTACCACATTGAGTATCATCATTTCTACAACTGCAGCTACCTTTATGTTGGAGAATAATCTAATATGCGTGCCTGTGCGATGCCCATATAAATTCTCCCATTTATCATTGTAGCTGGTGCTTGTTTCTGCAGACCCTTGGTGTTTGTCACACATTCCTGTGTTTCTCATCTGATGGTGACGCCTCATATTTTATCTGATTCTTTCTGATCTTTCTTTCTGAAGACCACAAGACACAATCCAAAGGCAGTGTTATGACTGGCATATTTTTTGTTGTGATAGAATTTAAGTGTGAGGCCGGGAGGTGTAATAAAACAGTATGCTTGATAAAAGATTGAAATACAAGGGGCTCGATTTTTTAATAAAGTAAAATCATATTCGCTGGCAATTATTGTCTTAGTATTAGAGATGTTCCTTCATTACCACAAACAAGGGCAGTAGTCCAATAAAAAATAATAATAAAAAGAGTACCCACCAGACTATATGCTATTGCTTTTGTTAAAAGGTCCAACCATTTAATCTTTAACAAATTACCTCAGGGCTCAGAGCCACATGCACAGCAAAGAGGTAGAAAAATAATCAAGAGAAGGACTCAAGACTTTGTTTGGTCTTCTTAAACATATTAAGTGTAACGTCAGCCACTAGGGGTCTCACAATCAAAACATTAATAGACCGCGTTTGATCATCGTGAAAATGGGAGTTGTTATCTTCACCACCATCACTGATGAAAATCTACCTGACACGACTCATGAAGCGTAATCATGATTATGAATGAAGTAATGTATTCAAATTGTATTCACGTTACACAGCAAACAGTAAACTGTGTTCACGCAATCAAAAGGCGACCAAAATGAAATTTACCATAAAATTGAATTCTCTGGGTTTTTAGACAGTGTAAGTCCACAAATCAACAAAACATTTAGCAAAGGTCTGGTTGTTTCTAAACATTTTACTGAAGTGATCTTACATATCATAGCTTTAGTTAAAAACAAAATGTATATATCTTAAAATATTTTCTGATGTGTTGACAAAGCTGATTGATACGCAATATGTCAGTATGATTTGGGCAAAGTCCGATAATTCAGTTGAAGGGAAGCCTTAAAGTTACATCCTATAATGCGTTATCAGACAATAGTGTGCTTCCAGCTTGATGGGAAAACATTTTGCTCTTTTGTTTAAAATAATTAGACGTGTGGTTACAGTATCTAGCACAAATGAGCAAGGGTCCACAACCCTCACCCTTCAATACCAAATAATCCGCTGAACGAGGCACTGATTGAAGAAGTAATCTCTGTAAAACAGTTACTGCATATGACCAATCAAGAAGGAATGAGTCAACAGCCTCAGTGTTTCTCAGGTCTCCTCTCTGCTGCCTGGAGACACTGGTAAGACTCTTAATCACACAGTGCCAGATGAGGGCCACAGAAAAATCTATGGCATCAGCTCCTCAACACTTCCACAGCCAATTAACCTAGTTAGTCTGAGCACCGACCATTTCTCCTGGTAAATTATTCCAAGGCCCATATGTGCCTGGCATGACAGAGTGATTTACCAGCGTATGGAAACTAAACCAGGCTCAAGAAAAAGGGCCTTGGTAAGCATTCTCGGTGCTGACACCCTCCAGAATTTGGACAATTATGAATGAGACAAAGGCTGTGGAACCAGGCCGGAGTGTTTAGGTAAGAGTGTGTGTCTGTATCAGGCGAATATTTAAACTACTGCATTTCATCATGTGTTTTGTGGGACTCCTGGTGTATTTTTCTGCTGATTCAGTGGCACTTCACACTCACTCATTCACAGTAACTAGGGCACAGGGCTGGTCAACAGAACAAGGACACTTAGACAATCAACAGCAGACAGTACATTTTCAGGGACACACTTTTGGGGCTAGAGGTCTTTTGCTTTCCATTCCTCGTTTGACCAATAACTTTTGAGCAGGCTTTGGTTGGCCGCGGGCAAAAAGGAGAGCAACAGAGGTGGAACACATTGACCTAAAAGCATCGGCTATCTGTTGTCACGTGTTTTCCACTCTGTTGCATCCTGACTTGTCGTACTCAACAGTGTACAGCAAATGGAAGACCCCGATATCCACTGTCTACACTGGAGGCCCCAAAATATTTGTCCCAGAGGCTAACTCGTCAGACGATAATAGGTAGGCCCCAATATTCGACTTAAGGTAACCTGGCTATTCTGAGCATTTTGGAGAAAATTCCTTTTAAATGTCATGTAAATAAATACTGCGGGTTGAAAAATGAAAATATTTGATTAGAGCAGGTACATTTCTGCTGGATAAACCTATTTTCTTGGCCACGTCAAACAAGACTTAACTAAAACGTTTAATAAATCTAAAATTTGACTCTCGATAATTGGTCAAAAGACTACATACATGTGCTTTCAAATATACTGCATGTTTTAAAAGTAAAAATACTTGCTGTCAACACTAGTCTTCTCAACAAACTTAGAGTCTACTACATCATTTTGGCTGAGCAGCTACATTTTCTGATTAATATGTCAAACAGGGAAATTTCTGGATGTCTAACTTTTTCTCTCATGTGTTGAGGCGCTGCGTTATGCTTTAACAGTACATTCCCTAAGTCACCAGAAGTTATTATGCCTTTTAATACAGTCAAGTCACAGTTGTAATCACAGCTTTAATTCTTAATGCTTCTTATCTTCTCTACGTACAATGCATGTTTATACAGAAACCAGGCTCTTACATCTGTTGCACCTCCATCTGGTCTCCACGGTAACAGGTTCGGAGGATGGTCTGCCGTTCAGCATCCCACAGGTGGTCCTTGAGGAAGTTGCCAGCCTGCGCTGCCCTCTCCAGCAGGGCCCTGTCCCCCAGCACAGCTCCGGCACGAGCGTAGGCCGACAACATCAGACCTGAAGAGAAAGAAACGGCAGAGATGGTCGTTGGTGGTTGTGGTGATTAGATATGAAATAACTTACTAACTCAGTTACTCAGCCCAACTTGTCCTCTCTCCACTGAATGTGTTGCCACAACTCATTCTTTGAACTCTCCTTGTTCTCGCTCTTTCCCGCTCTCTTCCCGCTCTCTTCCCTCTCTTTTCCTCTCCTCTCCTCTTTCATGTAGCGTATCAAAGCCTGGCGAGTGCACAGCCCGGGCTTCAAAGCACTGCAGCCGAGGACAGGTGATTAATGGAGGTGTTTCTTCATTAGAGAGGAGAGGGGGAGTCTTGTGTCTAATTGGAAAGTTCTCGGGATCGCAGGGCCTCATTACCTCACTAACACACTGTGTCTTGAGACATCAGGCCCGAGAGAAAGATTTGTTGGTGGTTGTGTTTATGTATGTGTAATGGCCTTACTGTTCTTGTATGTAGTAATTTGCTGGACAATGTGAGATTGTCCATTGACTTCACATGATGATAAATGTTTGTAATAATCTTTGGATGTTGACCATCAGTGAGTTTATGACAGCTTTTACCTTTGGCTCTGCCACAGAGGTTATGTTTTCATTTGTTTATCAGCAGGATGACGCAAACACTCCTCAACAGATCTCCATGAAATTTTGTGGAGGGGTGGAACATGACCCAAGGAAGAACCCATTAAATTTTGCTGCAGATCCAGATCAGGGGCGAATCCAGGATTTTTTGTTCACTTATTTTAACATTGTGAGACCGGGCATTTTTGTAACATTTGTTGATTTCTCAGAGAGTAATTCATGGATCTGGATGAAACAACATGTTTACAGGGCTGATATTTATGAGTGTGAGTAATGTGGTGCAGATCTTTTGAATTCAAATGTGGTTTTACAAGTGGAATATTGGGCCTTGGCAGAGGAATGCACTTTACTGAGTGCCATTCTAGTTGTTCTTCTAAACGGCCACATTTGGTGGAGTCAACAACGCTTTGTTCTGATTTGGTGCATTGTCACACCTAGTTGTGTAGTTTGTTGTCTCAGGTCCATATCAGTTGATGAGGTTGTGTGAGTTTTCGTTTTTTCCATTTGGTTTTGTTTCTTTCCAAGCAAACCTAAACGCATCACAGCAACCCATTTGAGAACGATATTTATTGGTCTGATGTGTTTGTCGTGGGAGCAAGAAGGTTAATGCAAGATGTGAGGACACAGACAGCAGTGCAGGTACACACTATATTAGACACTGTGCTTGTTCAGAAACATATTCACTGTACTGTTACTGATATTGGTATCGTTGAGTATACATCACCTTGCAACTTTATAAATGAACTCAAATATGATTAGTTTGTTCCAGATATAAATACTATAAATTTTGATCATGTTCATTTTATTCACATTTTTTTATCATATTCATATATTTTATTTGTGATGTTGAGATGTGTTGTTAAATTTCTTCTATGAGCTCATGCTCTCCGTATGTTTATGTGTGTATGTCAAAGACACAGTAAATGTAGAAACTTTGTTCCTGTATCATTACATAGATGTAGGAGGTAATATTATTATTCCACTGTCTGATTAAAAAAGGTGATCATGTGGATATACGATACCAGAAGAAACTAAAACTTCATCAACAATATACTCAAGGAAAATTCTTCTCCCTGTACGAGCAAAGTGTAAACCTGTCGAGACATTTACCATTCCAGGAGGCTAACATCTTGGTGTCCACATGTGGGCGTGGCCGACTGGTCCTCACTTCTGCCATCTTGGCTCTGGCAGCAGCCAGGAGCTCGTTCACCTTCTCGACACTGATGCCAAAGCGAGCAGACGTCAACTCCACTGAATAACGCACGATCAGCACATTCTGACCTTCCAGCTCCCCGTGGGGGTCCTGGCAACGCACCGCAGAGGAGAAGAGAGGGCGTTCGACAGAGATGAACTCATAATGACTGCAACAGCTGCCATGTTATAGCCTTAATCGACCCCCTTTAACTCCTTAAAATGCAGTTTGAACAAAATAACATAAGTGATCCAGCATTATGTCTTATGTTATAAGACTTTTCTGATCATTTACCCACCCAGCTTTTCTTCTTGGAAAGATCTCGGAATCGTGTGCCAGGCAAAGTTTGCAAATGCTACATGTGGGTTAGAGCTAATATCATATAATAATAAAAATGATGAAGATACCTGTTCTACAGAAACGTTGCCCTGCTCCTTGAACCCATAGTGGTGCATGAAGATGTCTGCCTGAGTGACAGCTTCACTGGCGCCTTCCACCATGTCTGGCAACAGCTCCCGAACTTCTGAGGCTGTCCAGACACAGAAAGCCCCCTCTCGCTTTTTTGTCCCCCCCGAAGATGGGACAGAGTCTGCATCCTCAGCACTGTAGAAGCCCCCGGACTGTTCAAGCAAGCAGACGGGAATGAAGGAGGGGGAAGGAGAGTGAAAGCTGCTTATCAATGACAAGTTGATTTGAGATTAAACAAATAAGTGGCAGAAAAATACAGAAAAAAAGACAGAGGCCATTTCTAATCAACATCTAACAAAGGCTTGACAGGTTTCTACAGATCTGCTCTCTTGGCTCTCTAAGATCTCTCCATTATAATGAGCAAATGTCAAAAAATGTTTATGGTTAAATCAGGAACAAAAATTAGTTTGAACTGAACTGAAAGTAAATGAATCAAAAAAACTGCAGAAAGGTTTATAGAGCAATTTCAGACTAACACAAAACAAATCTGGATGTTTGAAAGAAAATATCTAAGTACATTAAATGTCAAAATATTACAAATTTAAGGCAACAGAATGAGTAAAGCTTGCGTTTGAGACTCCTCACTCCAGGTCTGTAATGGGCATTGCCTGTTGAAAAAGAAACTAGAAATACTGGCATGAAGTTGAAGTGAACAAATATTTTTTTACATCTTCATACGAGGTCACTGTGACCTATGAATCTTTGAGATATCACGATGAAGTGGGCAACAACATGTTTTGTGGGGCCACAATGACCTTGACCTTTGAACACCCAAATCTAATCAGGTAATCTGTGAGTCTAAGTGAACATCTGCGCAAACTTTGAAAGGATTCTCTCGAGATGTTCTTACAATAATAATGACAACACAACCACACACTTAGGTTGGTGTAGGAAGCTGAAGAAAGAGGCCTTAAACTTTGCTTAATCACAGGGATGCCCTTATCTGGAGCAACAATCACATAACTGTGAAATTGAAATGACAAAACTGACAGCACTGAATTAAACATCACCTTTTCCAACTACTGAACCGTTATAATAACTGAGTATTTATGTAAAATCTGAAAGAGAGCTGCAGTGGTTGTTATTTAAAGTACTGAAATATTTCAACAGTTGTGATGAAAACTGGCAGCACGATCCAAGCTGTCTTAGCACAAAGAAAGCATGGGAGTCTACACTAAATTACCTTTGCTGCATTAATTCATTAACGTATAATTACATAATAAATCTCGGGGCATATAATGATTACAGGGAGTGCAGTTTTAATTGTGTGCCCCGTTCGCTGTTATCGACTCATTAATCAAAAGGAAAAAAAGGGTTGACCCTCAGAGGAGGGCAAGGGTTGAAGAGGCTATTTGTCAACATGGGTCCCACCCCCTTCCCCTCGAGGATGTATCAACAAGGTGCACGCACACAAACAACTCGCACAGTTATTATTATTTCCTGATGGGATTTACAGCTAATGTTTGTGTTTTGTCTGCAGCGAAAATACATAGTCACAGCAAGCCAGTTTATATTCCTCTATTTTTATGGCTAACCTTTGCCAACATGCATTCCTACACACTACATTAACACTAACCTCCTCCTAGCACCAAACTGAACCTAACCTCACTTCCATTCTGTGTGTTCTTAACCCATTTAGACATGGTGTGTAACACGTGCGTGTATATACCTTTAGGACCAGGTTCAATTTTCCAAGGCTTCTCCATTTCGAGCCAGATGTTTTATATGTGTATATTTTTAAAACATTTGACAAATGGAATGCATCGTGATTCACTGAAACACTCACAGGTAATACATAACCTATTATGGGAAATGTAGTCTGTTTTTTAGCGACTAATTATATCTCGATCTGCTTCAAGCTGAGGGATTCGGATTTTTGAAAATGTGGGCAATTCTGTCAACTGTTCAGAAAACCCTCAGGTTTAAAGTGGTTGATTTTGAAAAACTATTCAAGTCTGTTTTTATTCTGCACCTTAGGTTTGAATATGTTAAAGCTTTAATAAGGACACATGATCCGTGGAAGATCAGTAAGACAGAACAAGCACACACAAAGGAAGTGGTAACAAGGCAGGACATGATTCACCTGGTCGCTAAGGTCTCTGGAGACGTAGAGCAGTATGTCCTTAGCCACATCTGCAAAGAGCTGCTCGCCTGATACCTGAAACACCAGAAACACATAGCAACATGTGATTTATGTCCAGGATCTTACCTGCAGCATTCAACAAGAGTGCTGAGGAGGCTTCTACAGCCTCATTAAACACAAGTGTATGTGTGGGTCTGTATTGGAGTTTGCCTTCATGCTTGTGCCCTAATTAACTTTCTGCATCTCAGTCTCTATCCACTGTGAAAAACAGGCCAGCCCGTCCCACACTCAGGAAAAAAATACAAACATTCTGATGACGCCGTTTATTGTTGCATCCTTTTTCACCACTGTGGGAAGTCATTAGAGTTGAATCGATTTGCTCTTTCTGTTTTTCCTGTGGAAACTGGTTGAATGGAAATCAAAGATCCTTAAAACAACTACCCAAATGTGATGTTTGTGTGCAACAGCAAATGCACTGTGATTATGAGAGGACTCTGCTGCACAGCTAATGTTTTCCAAGTCACTCACCAACGTTTTTTTGCTGACTGGGTAATATGAAGATAAATTACTAGGATAAAAGAGATAAGGAATGATGGAGGGATAATTGCCCTGTCAGATAGGCAAAGAATACACACGCACGCACGCACACACACATGCACACACACCTGGGAGGCAGTTATGTAGGCCACAGCCAGCTGAGCTTGGTCATACAACATCTTTTCGAAGTGCGGAACATGCCAGGAGGAGTCAGTGGAGTAACGATGAAAACCCTGAGAGAGAGGGACATAAAGAGAGCATTGGAGGAGATACAGTATATACCGTCTATTGGTTGCACTTGCACACTATATTATTAGAGCCAGTTTTCCGTTTCTCTGGAAACATAACCTTGTGCAACGTAAGCAAATCTAACCTGAAATGAAAAAAATGGAAAGCTAAAGTTAATGGTAATAGAAAGACTAATAAAGTACATATGGTGGTTTCTATCAACTAACTTGTGCTGCAAGAAGTAAATATTCTCAATTAGCAATAATATTGATTGATCATGTTCTTTATTACTCGATTCATTGGAAAATGGATATTATAACTTCTCAAGCCCAAAACATTGCTCTGAAACTGTGTTGTTTTATCTGGTCAACGTCCGGCTGTAGAGTAAAGTGGCATCTTCTCAAACTGGAGAAGCTGGAACCATGTCAGCTGTGTCACCACATGATAATCACTGAAAAACCTCAGTAACATACAGTACAGTTTTCTGACTGCCAGCAGGTATTCAGTGTACAGTAC